CTCTTGTCTTTTTGCTCTGTAACGATTGCTTCATTCCATCCTAAACGAATTCACAGAATGATTAGTGAAATAAAATAGATGAAATGTTAGAATTAAGTTGTATATCTATCAATGTGTGCGCATTATATCAAATTTTCTCACTGTATTAGCTCGTCTACCTCTTTTCTACAACTTGGATACACATCACTACCATCCAGCCTCAATCTTCTCCTTGTTTTAGCTATTGAGATTTCTCTCCTTATATGTTAGACGGCGAGCAGATTTATAAACCGATCCCTGATCTCATTCGCTGGACGGGAATTTTTCATAGAAGTGTTAGTGATAATTCGAAAGCTTGAATCTCTTGCTGGAGCCCTATGTCGTCGGTTTTCAAAATACCCTTTTATAGCGATGTAAAATGCAAAATGAAATTATGTTTCACACAACCACGTGTTTTTTTTTTATCTCGCTCATATTTCGTAGGACAAAACTTCTTTAGAGTGATAATACTCATTCGATAGCACAAATTCCGGAGAACACAAAAATGTGTTTACTTTATGAAAAGCTCTTTCGATAGTGCTGTAGCAAAAGGACAGAGGATGGGAAAGAAATTGCCATCACACCTTGTTGGTTTATAAATTTGTCGCCGTCAAACATATAAGTACCGAAATTTCTAATAATATATATTGTTTATCAGTATTACCAACCGAAAATTCTCGTTTTGTATAGTTTCGAACCATTAGGTTGGGATTCTTGTTGGACTTACAAACCCTAACAAGGTGTGAGTGGCAATTTCTTTGCATAGTCGCTTCATTTACCGCAATTGACATCGAGTGAATGGCCTTTGTTTCCCAGATTATCGCTGTAGTGACACTATCATCACATTATCAGTTCAGTTGGGATTGAGTTGCAGAAAAAATCGAAAAAGCGTTCCCTTAGTGTTTCCGAAAGAAGATACCATTTGTTTTACCTTAGTGATATGAATCCATAAAAACAGCTGCTAGAATCTTGACATTGCTAATTCTTAACCATATCTCCTACTAAAATTTTTTCTCTTTTATTTCGAGTGTTTTCTTGAGACCACGCTCAAATATCAAGTACCAGCCAAAAGGCAATCGGGTGTAAAACACTGTAAGTTCGCTGATAGTTTGACTTGACTTAGAGTGTAAATCGTTCGTCTTCGCTACCTCTTTATAGGGTAAGGAGGGACTCTTGAGAGGATTGGATGAAAAGACTGAAAGACGACGGGTTCTGCCCGAGTGACGAGACTGTAAGATCGAAACACGTGTATCGGGCTCTACAAGAGCCCATTACCAAACCACATGACATCTTGGCTCAAATAATAATCATGAGATCTTCTTTCTTGTTCAGTTTTATGTTATCTAACCAAGTTTTGCTGTATAAAGTCATTATCAATTCCACGGATTTCGTACCGCAAATCAGATTAGTTGGAATTTGCATGATAACAGAACATCGATTTTTTGAAATACTTTATTCAGCATGCATAATAACTTTCTCGACTTTGTTCAGACATTGGTTTTTCTGCTTTGATACTTATAGCAGTTAGTAGTGTTCAAAATACTGATATATTACATGCTAATAATATCGATATATGCTGAATTTTTTTCACCACTCAATTCTCTTAAGGGTATTTGAAACTGATATAATATTAGTTTATTCAAGTTTTCATGAAATAAATGATGTGAAATAAAGGATAAGGATAAAGGATAAAGCTCTCGGCGTTGATCAATCCCTTAGGGATGCGCCATGCATTCGACATCAATTTCTAACTTCGTTTGAGGTGATTGAATGCATATCTGGCCTTTACAATGACTCGCGGTGGCCTCCCGCTGAACCGAGTCAGTGCTGCTTATCTTCCCAGACAAGTCTGAGACCTGCCTGGTACCAATTTACCGACCCGGAGGGATGGATGGCTTGGTGGGCCATGAGCGCGAGATCGAACCATTGACCTCATGTGCGACGCAGGGCACCTCTAACCACTGCGCCACATGCGCTCCAAATGATATGAAATAACGTTGACGAAATACATATGTTGATATCAGTTGGCAAGTGATGTAAACGTAGGTGATTCACACTGGTCGGGTTGACTGTATATTGAAATAGGCTTTTTGAAACGCATATTTGTAATCTATCACTTGTGGCTTTATCTCTCCGTATTGCACTCCAATACCATTCAGTATGAGACCATGAGCATCACATTCTTGCTATGTGCTTTTTCTCACTCTTCTCATTAGCCTAGATGTAGCACATGTCAGTGGTTTACTCTTAGTTAGGTTTCTAATGAAAATATCAAAGTCACCAACCAATTTTTTGCTGATGTGGTTTAACACCTACCATACATCATTAGTCCATACCCACGAACGCTCCAGCTGCAGTGAAACCATGAACCGTTGACTGTTGGCCAGCGAAGTTGCAGATAACTAGTATACCATTAGTTGGACTAGCCCATTGCTTAAGACGTGAAGTATCTTGAGAGTCTTATTTCCCTAACTCTTGCTATGAATAATCAATTTTATTATAAAAAACTATCTTAATTCAATCTGGCGCAACCTTACCTCCTTGGTAGTCCAAGTGTACTGAAAATGGTACACTGGTCTTAACGTTGTTTTTTTCATAAGGCACATATCTTTTCACTAGACTCTTAGTAGGCATTTGATAGCTGAAAAAACTGTGATTCTAATACTAGATTGTTTTCTGAAAGTTTTCTTGGTGCGCTTCAGTAATAAACAAAAAACTACATTTTGCCCCTGGAGTGTGGAGTGTGTATCGCACTCGTGTTTGCCTAACGATACAACTCCCTTTGTTGATGATAGAAATTCAAATTATATAATCGCTAGTTTATCGTTGGAACGCTCCTGCCTACTCGGCGACCACGTCGTGTATTAGGCAAAATTCAACGCGGAAGTCACTGCGTTGAATAATCAAAAGAGGACGTCATCTGAGGGTAGGACTCTTAATACTACTCATATATGTCGATTAGTTGTTTCTGTATGTGCGTCTTTGTTTGTGTGCTATGTAAAACCAGCTAGAAGTAACTAACCGCTAATATAGAGTCAGTAAATATGTGTTCCATTAAAAATCAATCATTGTTGAACCAGGGTCATCCTTCCTGATCTGTGATCATAGTTGCAATGCAGCCTGGAGCTTCGTTGCCCTGCAACCGTCATCCGGAGTGTTCGTGATGTTCATGCGTGGTTTCGAGGTTTGGTGTCTTGCTTGTGAGTAGTACATATTTTGTTGCCGGTGGACATATCTGCAATTATTTCACTCACTCATCAAGGACTACTTAATGGTTGTAAAACATTAACGCATAAAATTTTAGAATCGTTTTGGTTTAATACTACCATAAATCGCAGGTAGAAACCCCTCGTAGTCTTTTGTGATATGAAATAGTATATAAAAGATTTGTTTTGATACGGAGCTACATCGCGACTCACTCTGACCTCTGCCCGGTGGTGTTCACGTGAAAAATTAGTGGAAGACTTATAAAAGCGGTGAGTATGTTGAAAGTTGATTTTAAATCTGATGCGATTGAAATCTGGGTCTGGTGATTTTTTTCTAAAAGAGTTTTAGAGGTATTGCTGATTAGGTTGTGGACAACTTGTTCTCTCCAGGCTCTAAGGAAGGTAAATGCCAAAACGGCGGCTGTTTGAATATAATGTCATGAAACTTTGTGTTTGGCTTAAAGAATGTAAGGGATTAATGGGCAGAGTTTGAATATATGACATTGAAATAGAAAAATAGAGGGAAATGACAGATGTGGGAAGCGTGATTTGGAGTTTTACCGTGTGAACGTGGATGTCTTCATTACTATCTGCGGTTCAAACAGTTTAGTCCCATGTAACAAGAAGGTTCGTTTATGTTTTATTGCCTATCTTTACGGAACTTCGTTCAATCATCAATGAGTGTGTAGGCAGGAATTTAGTTTTGTTCATTCATAACAAATTCACACGCTTTGACTTGAGCGCAACTCAAATTTGTTCTCACACATTCTATTTCCATCTATCCAAAAGTCACAACATAGTTTTCGTGATCGTTATTAGTAACTGTAAAGAAGCAAAATGTCTCAAAACACCTCTTTGCTTTTTTCCATTTCATTAGTTGCGAAGTCAGCAGCAAACTTAGAGTAAATGATTATTTTCTGGTTTTGAAGACAATGGTCTTAACATCTTCAAAGCTCTAATGAAATGAACACAATGCATTTGTTTATCTGTTCCATTGGTTTCTTTCTTTTTCGGTCCAGGAGTTTGTGTTCGATTTTTGTGAGGGCTTGTTATCATGTGAAGTTTGAGATCCAAAGTTTCAGGTAATAATATCTATTCACCACCTCAATATTTTCAGTAGTTATCAGAAAGCCTAAAATAAAACATTCACGGTCTTATTTCCTTCAGTATTGTCTTTATGGAAGAAAATCAACCAATAATAGTTTGTATGGAAAGGATGGTTGTGTTTTCATAAAAATTTCGAGGGATTAAGAGCACTGTGAAAATATATTCAGTTTTCTCCCATGACATTTTATGATATCTGGTTAAAAAGTTCATTCGATCTTTTATGAATAGCTTGTTATAGAGTTATATTTGTGATATCACATCAGTGACGTCATGATTCACATAATTTGAGTTTTACGTATTTTAGTGACGTATATGTGATGTGGTATAAATAAATTTGATTATTTCATTTTTGTGCGTTAAACATCACATTTTTGCTACAAGCACAAGCAAAAAGAACGACGAAAAGTTGGAATTATCAGCAGATACACGGAAAAAAAGACTATGAAGCAATTGCAAAAGAATGGGCTTGTAGTGGTAGATCATGTAAAGTTTCAAGTAATGTATTAGTACATGTTCAAGAATATTAACTGATATGCAAAACATTCGACATCAGGCGGAAGTCGAAGCCGTGTTTCACCCCTGGCGGAGGCGCGTGTTACAACTACACCAACAATGCCACCGATCTTTACCACGAATGGAAATATCGAAGAAATAGTGGTAGAGATAGGTGGCATCGTTAGTGTAGTGGTAGCACGCGCCTCCGCTATGGGTGAGCGCGACTTCGACTCTCGTCTGACGTCGACTGTTTTGCATACCATTCATTACTCTTGGGCATGCATTTATAACCATTATACCACTGTTAAAGACGTTGAAATAAAGATTAGTCCAAGTAATGTGCTACTTTTTAGCAAGGATACATCATATTCTTTCGCTCACCGTCTTGTTTTCTTTTTTGAAACATTAAATTTTACGGCTTGGATTCCAAGAGAAATCGATGTCAAACAAAAAAAATGACGTTTTGCAGCTATGAGCATGTTTTGCTCAAAAACTGAACTAAAATGGAAATCTGTAAGATATTTTTTTATAATGAGTTCATAATGAATGTCTGGTACCTCTCACACAAGTCTGCTACCAATTTGGACGCATGCGGCGTGGTGAATAAGTGGTGCCCGCAATGCACAAAGGATTTTTGGCTCAATTTCACTCTCGCACCGTGGATTCGTTAAACCTTTCATCCCTCCTTGGCTAGTAAATTGTTATAAGACATGTGCTGAAGTAAAACAGCACTGAATTATATATGGGTAAACCAGTACAAGTCGTTGTATACTCTATCTTTAATCTCTACAGAGCGTTCGGCATGATGCGCATTCTGCATTCCAATCCATTAGATTTACAGACGTTGGTGAATGCATATCCTGCCTCATTTGTAGTACCCACAGATGTATCATTATCAACGTTTTTGTCGTCCCTGATGCAACTGGGATCGAATTTCCGACACTGGATCGGTGGGAGGCTTGTGTATCTCGGATTGAACCGACAGATTCATGCGTCATATGCCACTTCTGCTCGCCGGTATTCTCAACAAAGTTAAAAATTCTCCATCGGATTCCCAAGACCGACTGTCTATCAACCTCGGCATGCTTTAATATAATTCCTGATTCTTCTTTAAGCCAAACCCGAGCTGTTATGTTAAAATTTATTTGACAAGTGACGTTTCAGCAGTTCGCCCTCTCCAAAGCCTGGAAAGGTCAAACTGTCCCCAATCCAATCAGTCAAACACCTCTATCACTCCTTTAGAAAAAATCATCAGACTTAGATTTCAATTACATCAAACACAAAATTGACTCTCAACATACCGCTTTTTATATGTGTTCCACTGAATGATTCAAGTGGGAGATTACCGGAAGGAGATCACTTGGGCTTGTAATGCACACCATCCATTCAAAACAACGGTCTGATACACACTGACTCATATCACGAGTGATAATGAGGCATTCCTCCCTGCGGTTTATAGTTGAATTGGTTGTGTTAATCCAATGTGCTTCCGGAATTTTTCGCGCTGATGTTTTTTGTTCCAGCGCAAGGATGGTGACTTTGATCTCAAAATCACACCGTCGTGTTTCTGTTCTCTATGCGTCCCTAGCGGAGTGTTTCGTCTATTAAGGCGCTTGTAAGCTAGGTGTTCTATGCGGGCATAGAGCGGCCTACCCGTTTCGCCGATAAATCTGTCGCTGCACGCTTTGCAAGAGATTAGATAGACTGCACCTACGCTCATGCAATCACCATCTCTACCGTTAGGACATATTTTGCATCTTTCATTATACAGAGACGGTCATATAAGCGGTTGCGAACTAGTTGGCGTCTTAGAGTATTCGGTGGTATTTCAATAATAGCCATAATAATAATAATAATAGTCAATCTCCATCGAATGATTCGAAGTTATAGTTTTATACTAGAATTTTTCCATAGATAAGATGATCATCAGTTATAGTAGCAGCTCAGAATTAAAATGAAGTAAGAACTAGAGGAAAATTTTAAATGCCAAAAACAGTTCTTTGTTAGAAATCAATGCGAAAGAATAGGCTAGAAGGACGTCAGCGGAAGATAGATTACTCTCTTTTTTGAGCCATCACCCTCGACGCAAAGCGAGACTATTATTATGGTTTATGCGTGCCTCTGACGCTATCTTACAAGATCTTTCTCCTTTTCATTTATTTAATCTTTTTGTAAACCTACTGCTTTAAGATATTTTTGGCTTGGTGAGCGATAATTGAGAATCAAAACTGACAGTGCACAGCATGTTTCGATTGATAAACGATTTTATTGTATGGTTGGATATCGTGATGAATAGACATCAAATGATTTTGCAATTCGAATTATTGAAAGGTCATTGATTAATGTTTACACCATGCTCTGCCATTTGTTGCGGTGAAACTAAGAGAAAAATTCGTTTTGACTATTCCATAATCTTAGTGTCGTTTTTAGTAATCAGCATAAATTTATTGCTCTATCATTTTAGAAATTAGTACAAATTTTGAGAGGCGAGGTTGCGCAGCGGTTTGTTATTCATTGTATCAGAAATCAGGGTTGTGGGCAAGGTAGTGGTTCGATCCCTTCCCCAACAATCCTACTATCGATCTACGAGCTCCCTAGGGTGCGCCTTAGCCCGGAAAAATCCAAAACTTCACGGAAAATAGTCTCAACGAACATTTTCTGAGATTCATAAGGAAGGCGAAATTTAAAAACAATAACCGAACAGCACGTGAAAAATTTGAAAACCTTTGTGGAGGTGAATGCAAGGAAACGAATCAAATGCTAAAAGTGTTGCGATCCGCACAGTAAATTGGTATAATGTGTCGTATTGAATAAAATCTCATTCTAATATCATTCAAAGAATTACTCAGCTGGGTTTTTTTTTTGTTATTTCAAACCAGGCATTCATTGGAAATTCATGGCACTGAATTTCTAATACATATCTTAATGACCCTAGATGGCGGCACTGCAGTAAGTAAATACATTTTTGATATGATAGTGGTAATATCAAATTCAGCATTCCTGATTGCGACGCTGATTATAACTGCTGCTTAGAAAATGTTCAATGTGAGCTTTTTTTCATCAGTCGAATGAAGAGTCGATTTTCACGTAGTCTGCTTGGAACATCATTATCTCTGCTACACTACTACGCTTGTTTCCTTTTCTGTTTTATCGTTCATTAGCATCATCATGTAGAGTTGTGTGTGCGAGAAGAAAGCGAAGCACTCCAGACTGACAAAGCGTTCTTATTTTCTATCTTTCAAGGCTTTTTTCTTTTCTCCGTTTTCTTTTTTTTTCTTATCTGTTTCAAAATAAAATTTGCTCAATCCCTACTTGTTAACAACCGTTTTAATCGCCCACATACTTGTTCTACGGTTGACATCTTCGTTCATAACATTCAACTTATTTGTCACCATCATTGTTCAGCAGGACAACAAAGTGAGATCTCATACGATTAAAGTTTGTCACATATTTCTCTCAGTCAATTAGCATGGAAGATTCACGGAGCCCTTCTATTTTATCATTATTTTTCAATCATATGTGGTAGTTCTCGCGAAAATAACTAGTAGAATTCCAGTGTAAACTTCAGTGAATACCTTTTGAGTTCTTTTGCATTCATTTTACAATAAAAGTGAGTTACAGAATTATAGAATTGCTAACACATTGGAGCTGTTTGCACCAGATACAAACATACTTCATTTATTCATTAGAGAAATTTATTGTATCAAAGAATTTATTGTTAGAGAATTATAACTTTGAAAGGTGGTTCTAATATTCATTTCATTTAGTGTGATTTCTCAATCAGCAGATACGAGGCTGTTATCAGTAGAATTTATGGAATACAATCAAATACGATTAAATAATAGCCAACGTTTCGGCGCTATCGCCTTCTCTAGTGCCCGGAAAGATCAAATTGACGTGCAATCTAATAGTCAAACACTTTTGCGACCTCAGCAGGAAAGCGTGAGGAACGGATTTTAGTTTGCATAGTAAACTGCTCTTTTCCAACCAATCACCGTTTTATTGATTCCAAGTCTTGCAGTTATTCATTGGTGATAAGCTGCACAGCTTCATACATAGGCGAGGAGTGTGCCTGGCCAGATTAAAAAAAAATTGCTTGAAGTTTGCTGCGTTGTTATGCGTTATTACGAGACACCCCCCGCTGGCGGTTCATTTTTAATTTTTGGCATTTATCCAAAACGCTTCAAAAGTTTTTCGTTTAGATGATTTAGATTTCTGTAATACTAAGTTTTGCATCAGAATCTTCCTCCTTATATTTCTGGTCCCTATGCGCTTTAGTGGAGTGTTTTGTTCGGCTTTTAGTTTTCGAACTGAATGCTCTATGATGCGGACGCAGAATGGTTTATCCGTTTCGCCAATGTATACCTTGCCGTATGCCTTACAAGAGTTATAGATATATCGTACGTTAAGTTATGTTCAACGTTAAGCTGTGCTGTGCAACTTTGCTTTTCGCTTAGACGATCATTCAAGTAGTTACAAACCAGCTGACGTCTTCAACTGTTGAGGGTTATTCTAATCACTCCCAATGATTTGTCTAAATCTACTCTTCCTAAGCAGCGTTTTATAGCTGTCCTGACTTCCATAGAAATAAAGGGCATGATGTGTGGGACCTTATCTCCATTAGATTTTTCGTCTGTAGGCTTCGCTTTTCTTCTAAATTTAGCCCGAGAAGCTTCTATCGTTTCAAATCCATTAGAAATGGCTATTTTTCACGCCAAATCGAGGGATTCCTTGTAATACTCTCCTGCCAGTATACACTGGTAGCTATTCGAAACATTTTTTCACAATACCCGTTTTGTGTGTGATGGATGAGAGGAGAGGTAATGAACCAGAGTATTTCAGTACTTAACTTAGGCTAGCACTTGGTGATGTGGCCGTTTTCGAATAGTCTAAATGGAAGCCAGTTTTTTTGATATCTTACGGATAAATTCCATGTAGTCTGACTGTTTGTTCAACAATTCAAGATATCTGTCCATCTTCTCTTAAGTGGATCAGATAACAAAGCCATCATCCGTATATCTACACTAATGGTCGATGATCGATTGTTAAGGCTTCACTACTAGACATAAAGACTCGCAAGCCCTGGGACCAGTCATTGTCAAATTGTCAACCCTCTTATTCGTTGTTTTTGTTTTTAAGCCAAACACGAGGTTTTTATAGTACAGTCTATTTTGAAAGTTGACGTTTCGGCGGTTTCGCCTTATTCCGAGCCTGGAAAGAGTAGATTTTTTGCAGCCCAGTCGACC